TAGAATCTCATCGTGATCGACTCCATCTCTTGTCGGGAAGATGTGCGAGTCCCGTCTTCGTTTAGTAATGGTCAGCGGGATAGTCGAGAAGTCCCTAGAGTACGTTTCAGACTTCTCCTTCCTTTTGCTGCTTTCAAAAGTTTCGATTGCCTTACTTTCGAAGGTCTTCTTGCAAAGCTGTTCTGCAACTGGTATTGGCTGGTAGTCGCTCGAGATGTGATGCAGTCGGATCCAGCCTTAGTGCTCTTCTCCTTTCTGGCAGTTCCTTTGTGGCTTTCAAAATTCGTTCCAAGTTCCATGTTCGAGGCATTGAGGCACGTCCACCACAGACTCTCAGCCCTCTAAGCAGCAGATTGTAGTCTATCGTCGCGTCCTTTTTGATGGGCTAGTCACAAGTGGTCAGGAGCTCCTCCAATCTGATGCCGTCATATACGACTCTCCTTCCTCCGACACTGTTTCAGATCTTCTTCCAGCTTTCGGCTGAATCGAACTTTTGTTCGAAGGAGGCGGTGATCTGAGCCACTACTGAAGCATGGTATCACTGAGGCGTTCAGTAAGTACCATCTTCGGTTGGTGAGAATGTGGTTGATCTCCGCATGAGTCATACCGTTGGGTGACTCCCATGTCCATCGCCCGTTTCTTTTTTCATGAAAATGGAGTTGCCATAAAAAGTCGTGCGGCGGATAAGAGCCCAACAAGACGGCTACCGTTCTTATCCCGTCCTGATCCATATCTCCCTATCTTGTGTTCCCTTCTTCAGCATCAAGTCCCGAATCATTAGCTGCTTGTGTTGTAGATTAGCATTTGATGATAGTGATGGCTTTCTGATGCAGAGGACGGAGTGAAGGATAGCCAGACGAGGTGATAGGATCTCATGCGAATCGATAAGATGGACAACAGATGGGTGTACGACAAATCCAACGTCTACAACGAATGATGGTGTGCCATCACTCAGCTGCCTCACCGGTCGATTACGTGGTAGTTGATGCACCCTGCTGCGTCGAGAAGGGCGTGAAGATCGGCGTTGATGGAGGCTGTCCTGGCGTTGTATGTGCAGAGCATGAGACAATCTCCATGGCGATTAGCGAGTGGTTGATGTGTCATTTTAAGCCCAAATCCATGGCGTCTTGTGCAACCTGACACTGGTTTTGATGACATCCGACGCCATAGATGTGATCCAGTGTGCAGGGCTTCTTTTC